AGCAACAAACACTGCAACCGGACCTTAAATATGGGGTGCCACATAACGTTGTTTTGATTTGATCGTTGTTGCCGTCGCCCTGGCCGTCCAGTCCGCCGATGGCCACTACTAACGGCTCCGGCCGCGCACGTGGTACTTTTGGCTCAAGCGTCTGCAATCAACGCAGCGCTGATCACGCATAAACAACAAGCACCTAAAGCAGCAGATATCGCAACGCAGCACTCGTTCAGAACAACCTGCTGTATGATGATGAGTACGATTGTCGCCCTGGCCGTCCGGCAGCTCGTCGCCACACGCGTGGCAACCCAGGCTCGTCCATGAGCAAGCAAACAGCACAGCTCAGAGGCTCAGAGCTCCGTCGGGGCACCTGAATTGGGGATGCGTGGCGCTCCGCCGAGCGCCACCTGGCCGCAGGCGAGGCGCTCCCTTGGCCCCCGCACAGGGTCCAACGGCGGAAGGCCGCGGACGCGCCTGGGTGGTGAGCTGCAGCATCGGGGAGCAGCTGCAGTGGCTCAGAGGAGGAAAAGGGTGCCCTGTCCGCTGCGCTTCCCTCGCTTTCCCCTTTGGGGGGCCTCCCGCGAAGACTTCGTCGCCACCGCTGGAGTCGCCCCGAAACGCTGGTCTGAAACGCGCCCTGGAGAGGTCCTGGGAGTAGCGGTATCGCTACCTTGTGGCTTCCCCAGGCTCAAGAGAGAACGCATCGGCCCCGATCGCCCTTTTGGTGCCGACTGGGGCCCGATAGCCCACCCCGCCCAGGAACGCTGCGTTCTTCTCCGGTCTCGAGGGCCTATGGCCGATCCATCGGCGACGTATCGCCGATGCCAGCTCGTGTTTCCCACGGCCGTTCCTCCATCAATCAGATTTTGGGTTCGTGCCGGGCGACGAAGAATGAGGAGAGGGAGGAGGAGGAGGAGGAGGAGGAGGAGGAGGAGGAGCCGGGGCGGAGGCGGAGGAGGAGGAGGAGGAGGAGAAGGAAGAGGAGGAGGAGGAGGAGGTGGAGGAGGTGGAGGGGAGGAGGGGAGGAGGAGGAGGAGGAGGAGGAGAGGAGGAGGGAGGAGGAGGAGGAGGGGAGGAGGAGGAGGAGGAGGAGGAGGAGGAGGAGGAGGAGGAGGAGGAGGAGGAGGAGGAGGAGGAGGAGGAGAAGGAGTATGAGTTGGAGGAGATGGAGGAGGAAGAGGAGGAGATGGAGGAGGAGGAGGAGGAGGAGGAGGAGGAGGAGGAGGAGGAGGAGCGGGAGGAGGCGCAGCAGGAGGCGGCGGCGGCAGAAGAGAGTGAGGTGTCGGAGGACTAGAGTGGGGAGCTTGGTAATGAGAATGATGATGCTGATGATGATGTTTATGCTCATGTTGCTGCTGCTGCTGCTGCTGCTGCTGCTGATGATGATGATGATGATGATGATGATGATGATGATGATGATGATGATGATGTTGATGATGTTGTTGATGATGATGATGATGATGATGATGATGGTGGTGATGATGATGCTGCTGATGTTGATGCTGATGCTGATGCTGATGATGCTGTTGATGATGATGACGATGATGATGCGGAGGATGCTGATGATGCTGCTGATGATTATGAGCATGAACATGAGGAGGAAGAGGAGGATGAGCAGGGGGAGGAGGAGGAGGAGGAGGAGGAGGAGGAGGAGGAGGAGGAGGAGGAGGAGGAGGAGGGAGGAGGAGGAGGAGGGAGGAGGAGGATGAGAAGGGAGTAGGAGGAGGTTTGGTTCGGTCCTCCTCGAAGGCGGGAGACACAGCTCACAGCTGCTGGGCGGGTGCCACTCCCAAGGGAAGCGACAACCGAGGCGGAGGCGGAGGAGGAGGAGCCCTCCCATCTGGCCGCCGCCTCATTCGGACGACGTCCGTGCAGCGCGCACGCGATGAGCGCCCGCCTGCATTCCTCCGCATCCCCTTCTTCTGCTTCTTCTTCTTCTTCTTCTCTTCCTTCTTCTTCGCGCGCGGCCGAGGGCTCGAGGGCCCTTTCAGCTTTTGCTTCTCAAGGTGGTGGCTCGAGGCAGCTGTGACTCCGGCCGTTTCGGGCCCGAGAGCTGCGATGTTCGCGGTGACTGAGCCGACGAAGCGTGTGGATGCAATGGGAACCTAGACGGCCCATGTCCACCTCGACCTAGCGCCTCTCCCTCTCGCAGCGGTGATCCTGATGCGCGGGAGCATCCAACAGTGGAGCGCAGCGCTGGAACTGCTCCGCGAGGCATCTCGTCAGCGCCTGCATGCCAGCACGAGCTTGTACACCTCCACGGTCAGCGCGTGCGGAAGAGCCAAGCAGTGGCAGCTGGCCCTGTCGTTGCTCCGCGAGGCGCGGGATGCGAAGCTGGAGCCGGACGTCGGCGGTACTGCAGTGTTCGCGGAGGCGCGGGCGGGAAATGTTGGCGTGAATCTGCGGCCGCTTGCGAACCTTTCCCCCTGCGGGTCCACTCGACGCCGAGGTATCGGACACTCCCGCTGTGGCTCACGTGGCTGCAGGCGTCCGCGACGTGCTGCACAGCAGTTGACGCTCGAGAAATCTGACCTGCAGGGGTTGGGATCACGCCGTGGTTGCCCAGAGCAGGCCCTCCTCGGGCGGGCCCGGGATCAGGATGCGTCGCTGCAGAGTCCTCCTCATCGCTCTCAGAGCGCTCCAGGCGTTCGGGAGCGGCCTCGGCGCCCGATACATCACCCGGGGCGGTCGAGTCTCAGAGATCCCCGATTCGTCCCGGGGATTCGATGGTGCGCCGGTCCTGGCTTCGTCTGACCCCGAGGCCACCGACCCCCGCCACAGGACGGCCCCAGACCAGGCAGGGACCGGCTAAAGGCAGCCCCACGGGGCAGTCCAAGTCGGCGACACGTCGGCCCCGAGGCCTCCCCAGAGGGCCCCCGCGGCCTGCCAAGACGTGCCCTAGATCCAAGCAGGCCCCCCTCATGTGCTCAACCGCAGCAGGCTCCCAACGAGGCCCCGAAGAGACTGCAACAGTCTCACCGAGTAAGAAGCCGGCAGGCCAGCATGTGCCCCACCAGCTAGTTTGGCGCGATCGTCGCTGCCACGGTGGCGCTGACCTCTGGGCACTTCCCAGCGGGCACTCCAGTGCGAGTCGACCACATGGGCAGGCGCGGTATCATGCCACGCTGGTGACAATGATGACCAGAGCGACGGCACGCCCAGTGACAGCGCCGATGCTGATCACGCCGGCGACGATGGCGGCGTCCTGTTGTCGGTGATGAAGGTTCTGGAAGGAGTTCGACATGCGCGCGCGGCCGACGCACGAGAGTGGCCCGCCTGGTGTTACGCAATTAACACTGATCGTGCCCCCCAACACGCGCGCGAAGGCGTTCGAGTGATGTCGACATGCGGTTTGAAAAGGCCCGTTTTGCCGAATTTCGGGATTATCGATACACCCTGGGGATGTGCATTTTACTGATGATTCAGCCCCGTCGCCCACTTTGAATTTGAATCCATATCATGCCAGCCTGGCCGGGTTCACCCCCGCACGCCATCTTCTCCAAATGAAATGATGCGCGCGCACGGCTTCATCAAAATCACCTGCTTCCCAGAATCCCTCGCCAACACCGGAACGAAGACGCGCGCGTCGTGCGCGCGCATCCCGACATCTTTCAAGCAAAAAAACCTTTGGTTTCGCTTTGCTTTCAAAATCGAGTGTCCTGAAAACATATGACGGCATACGGTTCTGCAACATGTTTGTTCATACCAGGTTCTTGCGCGCGCTGCTGCGGTTTTTGGTTAGACAGTAATTCGGTTCTTACACATGTTCACCAAATCCGCCCAAACGGGCCTCTGACGCGCACGTGTCGGAGTCATTCGAATTCGCTTGTGCGCATGTGGGGGGGGCGCAATCCTTGCCAATGAACCTGCGGGCCAGTCGCGCCCGTCGGCCGCGCGCGCATGTCGAAACCTGTCCAAAACCTTAGTCACCGACACGTCGACACCATCATCGTCACTGACGTGGTCACCATCGTCGTCATGGTCAGCGCCGTCATCGTCACCGTCGTTACCAGCATCGCTGCTGTCATCATCGTGTCTGCTGTTGTCGACGTCGCCATGATACCGCACACGGCCGACTCACCGACTCGCACTGAATCGCTTGCGCGTCAGCGCGGCCTGCGAAACGCGCTGGCTGGACGCGAGAAAGTCCCCAGCAACCAACGCCACCGCGACTGCGCCTGTCGCGCCAGACTCGCTGGTCGATCGGCGCGGGAGCTTGCGCGCGTTAGCGCGGCCGCAGCGATGCGCCAGCCAACTCCAAACAGTCATGGTAATCGCCGTCGCATGGGTTTTGCAAACCAAGTTGCGGGGGGGTGGGTGGGATGATTGCGCGAGCAGCTGGGTGGGCAATATCGAATTTTGCAGGGCGAATCTACTGCACGACATCGCTTTAATCACATAGATTGCACGGTACAGCGTGCACCACATTTTGCTTAAGCGCGACTGCGGCACGTAAGTTACACAACGTATATTGCACTACATTGATCGCAACACTTCGCATGCTAAAGCGCACGGTCTTGGGGTTCAGATGTTTAACGGTCTTCGTTAACAAATTCATAGCGAGAGGTTGTAAAACAACAGAACGACCCGCGCATGTTGGGGCAATTTTCGCACAGGAGGGTCTCGTAATGTGGCCACCGCGCCTTTTCCGACATATGGTTTGTTGCCACCTGCGGCGGCCTCTATTCACCAACGCCCCAAGCGGTGTGGCCTTATGTTGTTTCATGATCCGCCGCCCTCGACCCTGAAATCCCCTCGCCCTCGCTTTCCTCGCCCAGTCCGAGCCTCCGCCGTCCGGACAAACGGCATAGGGAGGCAGCCATTGCAAACACCAGCACGCAAACACTTCATGCAGCAACACGATTTCTCAGCTGCGAGAGGCAGAACGAATCATTGGTGAGCACCCTCGCTAAGCGACACCAGCGATCAACAGCACGTAGCAGCCACTGCCACCATGTCGGACCGAGTAGCCGACATCAGCGGCAAGAAGTCGCGCGCACGAGAAGCAGGATGGTTTTGCCCTCCATGGAGTCAATCCACGAACGACGCTGGTCTGCTACAGCTCCGGGATCAGCGCGTGTCAGAAGGGAGAGCAGTGGCAGCGGGCAGTGGCGCTGTTGAGCGAGATGTTGGAGGCGCAGATAGAGCCCAACGTCATGTCCTGTACACTGCCGAGATGCAGTGCTTGTGTGAGGGCGAGACGTGGACGCTCGACGTCCTGGTCGGGACGATCGACAAAGGGCACATATTGAATAGGAAAATGCGCGTTCTGTGGGCGTGGTCGCGGTGGTGGTGGATTGTGATGGTGGTGTTGGAGGTTGTGGCTGCTGTGGTGGAGATGGCGGTGGTGGTGGTGGTGGTGGTGGTGGTGGTGGTGGTGGTGGTGGTGGTGGAGGGGGAGGGTTAGGTGGGGGGGGTCCCCCTAGTTCTGATCGACGGCGCCGAACGTTGGAGGGGGGGGAACACCACCCCCTGGTTCGAAACGCGCCGCCGAATGTTACCAAGGCAAGCGCGAGTGAAACGCGCTCTCTCAATGAATTGGTCACGAAGCGGCAGCACTTTCTGGTCAGTTTGAACAAGACTGGTTGTGGGCGTCGCCGTGGATGTTGCCCATTCGAATCAGACTGCTTGCTGCCCAACACCGGTCGCTGTCGATTCTGGAGAACATGTGCATCGTACCCATGTGTTCCATCGCCTTTTCGGGCGTCCAAGTTTGGGTCATCACCATTTAAGAAGCGCCCGCACGAATCGCCCCAAGTCGGCCCCGACAAACTGGCTTCGCCTTCTAGGATCAAAGGATGACTTCTCCCCTCAGAGGAGCAAGAGGCCATGAGAACGATACGTTCCGAGATTTCCAGGAGCTGCATGTCTCCCTGATGATTCACACGGGCTGCAGAGACGCGGGCCGCTAGCTACCCTGGAATCTCTGGACGCATCTCGAGCCGCTCCCATGCGATCCTGAGCCACCCTGGAACTTCTGGACGCATCTCGAGCCGCTCCCATGCGACCCCGAGCCACCCTGTGGAATTTCTGGACGCCTCCCGGAGCCACGCCCGCCACGACATCGCACCCCTTGCGAGCTGTTCTGGCGGCTGGTCCTGGCAAGGGCCAGCGGAGGCCGGCGCGAGGGCGGCTCGGCCAGCGGAAGGCCAGCGGAAGCAGACGCGAGACGCCAGCACTGTTGGATTCTGGTGTTCCTCCTCCTCCTCCTCCCCTCCTCCTCCTCCCTCCTCCTCTCCTTTCCTCCTCCTCCTCCTCCTCCTCTCCTCCTCCTCCCCTCCTTCTCCTCCTCCTCCCCCTCCTCCTCCTCCTCCTTCTCCCTCCTACTTCTCCCTCCTCCTCCTCCTCCTACTCCTCCTCCTCCCTCCTCCTCCTCCTCCCCTCCTCCTCCTCCTCCTCCCTCCTCCTCCTTATCCTCCTCCTCCGGTTTACCCTCCTCCTCCTCCTCCTCCTCCTCCTCCTCCTCCTCCTTCTCACTCCTCCTTCTCCCTCCTCCTCCTCCTCCTCCTCCTCCTCCTCCTTCTCCTCCTCCTCCTCCTCCTCCTCCTCCTCCTCCTCCTCCTTCTCGGAAGCAATTAGCGAACGCTCACGCCGCCTTCATCTGTCAATGCTTCCCCCAATGACCAACGCTGGCGGCGGGCTGAATTAGCTGCACTTCGACCGCAGTCTTCCCCGCGCGTGCCAGCTTTGAGTTTGGGAGGGCGGGGGAGTGTCCACTAATTCTTTCTTTCTGCCGTTCGAGCCTCTTGAATCGGGCCTGAGAGCCCCCCCCATCTCAGAAGCCCTCGCGCCTTCTGAGGAGTTCTCTCTGTCGGCGCGGGAGGCTTAGAACACTTCTAACAGAAGGCCGGGGGGCTCTTCCGAGCCTTCCGAGAAGGCCCCGCCTCTGCTGACTTTCCCCCTATCGGCTCGCCGCCGAGGGGTGCTCCAGACGGCCCCGACCCGGCTCCAAGACAGCGTAGGAGCCTCTCTCATAATGGTTTCCAGATCCCCTTCCCCCCACCCTGACTCAGCCACGCGCAGAAGGGGGGTATGGGGGAGGGGGGAAGGCTTCTTAGAAGGAGGCTGCTTCTTCGAATGCGCGCGCCTTTATCTACAGATGTAGGGCGGGCGCCTTCTAAGAAGCAGCCTCCTTCTGAGAAGCCTTCACCCCTCCCCTTACCTCCTTGTGCGCGCCGCCAACTAGCGACCTTCAGACGCCCGGGAAGGGCCTCTAGACGCCCAAGGGGGTCTTGTGAGCCCCCTGAAAGGATTGTCTTTGGAACGTTCGAGAGAGCAACACGGGTCCGAAGCCGGACTTGCCCCACGAGTGCCCCGCGGGTCAGCTACAACGCCGTGATCAGCGCGTGCGAGAAAGGACGGCAGTGGCAGCGGGCCCAGTCGCTGATCAGGGAGATGTGGGAGGCGAGCGTAGAGCCCAACGTCATTTCCCCTACATTTAGGCCTCCTACATGGGGTCGGAGTAGGTGGGGCAGGAGGATCGCGCCGCATCGCCGATGAATCGACGATGCAGCTCGATGTGGAGCCCGTGTTTCCCTACGCCGACGTCGCCGATGAATCGCCGACGTCGCCGATGCATCGCCCACGCATCGCCGATGCATCGCCCATGCATCGATGCGTCGGCGATGCCTTGGCGATGCGGCGCGATCCTTCGACCCCACCTACTCGGACCCCATCTGGGAGGCCTCTGCTACGGCAGCGGCAGCAGCATGGGGCAGCGCGCGCGCGCGAGCTGGGCGAGCAGCGCCTCCGGCCAGGGAGGGGGGCCGCCCGGCCCGGCGTGCTCACCGCCGGCCTCCCGGAGGGACCCTCGAGGGCCTGGAAGAGGCGGGGACCCTCCACAAGCCTGAAGTCGGGCCTGTCCCCCTGCAGGGGGATTTTCTACGAAAAATAAAGAATACTCCAAAAATGATTAAAAAAAATAGTCGGGGAATGATTTTTTGATTATTTTTTGACCATTTGGGGGTATGTTTTGACTACTTTTTTGATTTTTCGCCCAAAATCCCCCTGTAGGGGGACAGGCCCGACTTAACACAAGCCCAACATGTTTGAAACTCACCGGGTTTTCTGAATTTCCCGCGCGCTCCATCTTCCCAGCCAGGTCGGGGGCCCTCAAACGGGGTGGTGACCACACCGTGCTGTGAGTCGGTGGGGATTCGGGGTCACCGCACGGTTTTGGGACTCGGGTCATTCTCCGAGGACGTCTCGGGCGACAGGGGCATCCGAGGTCCCAAGACCGTGCGGTGACGGACCGTGCGATGAGGTCTTGGGGGATTTCGAGGTCGCCGCACGGTCTGTCACCGCACCGCTTCGGGACTCCAAACCAGGGGGCGTCTCGAGGACGGGCTCCGACGGCTCCCGGCAGCGACGAGGAGGCCTTGCCGGACGCTTCCAGAGGGCCCCGGGGCGCTCCCGAGATGACCTAGGGCTGCCCTGCCAGGCCGCCAAGCGGCCCTGAGCAGGCCCAGCAGGCTCCAGGATCGGCCAAGGCCACCCCGTCGTAGTGCCAAGTGCTTCCCAGGCAGACTGTTGCCATGCTTCGGCAATGGCCGCCGAGAAGCCCCCGTTGACGCCAAGGTGGCGTTAAGTCGGGCCTGTCCCTCTACAGGAGGAGTGTTCAAACATAGATGCAAAAATAGTCTGGGGACGATTGTTTGACTATTCTTGACTATTTTGGAATCTGTTTCGACTATTGATTATTGTTCGTCCAAAATCCCCCTGTAGGGGGACATGCCCGACCTAAAGGTAGCGCCAAGTGGTCCCAGGAAGGTCCCAAGAGAGCCCAAGAAGGCTCGTGCATGCCCAGAGCAGGACCCAAGCTGGTCCCGCGAGCGCCCCAGGATCCCGATCCGTGCGGCATCCCCGCATACCCTCTACAGGAGGAATAGTCAAAAGTGATCAACAAAAAAGAATATGGGGACGATTTGTCTGTCATTTTTTGATGTTTGTTTGCGTAGTTCCCTACCTAGGCTCTGCCTAGAAGGGTTCTTACTCTCTAGCTTAAAGGGGCCGGGCAGTGGAAAGCGCCCCGGGCGGTTCCCCCAGTCCCCGCCCCGCGGTTCCCCCCCAGTCCTCTGGGAGCTTTAGCTTTAGCTTTAGCTTTAGCTTAGCTTTAGCTTAGCTTTAGCTTAGCTGTAGCTTAGCTTTAGCTTAGCTTTAGCTTAGTTTTAGCTTAGCTTTAGCTTAGCTTTAGCTTAGCTTTAGCTTAGCTTGAGCTTAGCTTGAGCTTAGCTGTAGCTTAGCTTTAGCTTATCTTTAGCTTAGCTTTAGCTTAGCTTTAGCTTAGCTTTCGCTTAGCTTTTCGCTTGGCGTTTAGCTTAGCTGTAGCTTAGCTTTAGCTTAGTTTTAGATTAGCTTTAGCTTAGCTTTAGCTTAACTTTAGCTTAGCTGTGGCTTAGCTTTAGCTTAGCTGTTGCTTAGCTTTAGCTTAGCTTTAGCTTAGCGTTACTGTTACTACTAATGCTGCTTTCCTAGGGGTTCCAACTCCTAGGTAGGGTCGCACTGGGATAATGTGTTGCTAATTTTGTCGTTTCGCCCAAAATCCGCCTGTAGGGGGACATGCCCGACCTAAGCATAGTTCCCGAGTGCGAGACCAACGTCATCAGAACAGAATCCCCGAGTCCGTGAGACAATCTGCTTTCTAAGTTTGCGATGTAAGCATTCTCGACTGATAGTCCGCATGGATTTGTAATCCACTGGTCCAGACTATTGTGAAGGCCTTGCGGCCGGTGCCGCCGACCCAGAAGGACGACGACGACGACCACCGACGACAACAACGACGAGCTGATGACCCTCCCACAGGCTGTCACAGGCTTGGGACATGGGGCGGGCGGTGGAGGGAGGATGAGGAGGAGGACGAGGAGGAGGAGGAGGAGGACGAGGAAGAGGAGCAGGAGGAGGCAGAAAAGGAGCAGGAGGAGGAGGAGGAGGAGCAGGAGCAGGAGGACGAGGAGGAGGAGGAAGAGGAGGGGGAGGGGGAGGGGGAGGGGGAGGAAGGAGGAGGAGGAGGAGGAGGAGAAGCATGAGGAGTAGGATCACGAGGAAGAGAAAGAGGAGGATGAGGAGGAGGAGGAGGAGGAGGAGTGGATTTGCAATCCATTGGTCCAGACTGTTCAGCTACAGTGCTGGGATCAGCGCCTGCGAGAAGGGCGAGCAGTGGCAGCGCGCCGTGTCGCTGCTCAGCGAGATGTTGGAGGCGAAGTTGGAGCCCAACGCCATTAGCTACAGTGCCGGGATCAACGCATGTGGAAAAGGTGAGCAGTGGCAGCGGGCGCTGTCGTTGCTCAGCGAGATGTGGGAGGTGAAGTTGGAGCCCAATGCAATCATCAGCTCTTCAATGCCAGGGTGCTTCATGACGCCATGTTCGGCAATTCTTCGCCATTCTACACTATGCTCTACAATGCTGCATGTCCGGATGCTGTGCTACGCAATGCGCCGCTACGCTGTACATTGCCGTTCCTAGGAATTCTAGACAATGAGTTGCAGCAGTATGCAGCAGTACGCCATCCTGCTGTGATTCGATGCGACATGTTATATCAAGCATGTGTCTTGGTTCGCTCTGCTGTGCCCTGCTGTGTGAGACTGGTGCTATACTGGCTACACACTGCTATGATAGGCGATGCCATGTTGCCAACATTACGCAGTGACATGTCATGGAATTACTTGGTATGCTATGTTGCCCGATGCCATGCCGCAATACGTATACCATTGCGTTACATTGCGTATCGTTGCGTTTCGTTGCGTGTATGTAAAGTGGCCTTCGGTCCATGCCGTAACCGTGCCCTGCTCAGAGGGGGCGGGGTTAATGTGATGCCTCTTGGAATTCCTTGGGTGCCTTTGTGGGGCCTCTTGAAAGACTCTTGGGTCCTCATGGGCACCTCTTGGGGACGTTTCGGGGGCATCTGGGGGATATTGGGCGTCTTGGATTTTACATGTGGGAGAAAGGCTCCTGGATCTGATTCGTGGTACCACCCTCCAGGGTCGAACACATGAGACATAGCAGGTTGCTCAGTTGTTTCCTTGGCATCGGGAGAAGCGATGCGGTGATTTCGATAACGTGTATGAGCGCCCCTGGCCTTGGGGCTCCTGGGCCCCGCAAAGCTAATCTTCGGCGGCGAACCCAGGGGGGATCTGAGAAGGGGCAGGCCTTCTCAGACGGCTCGGAAAGGACTCGGGCCTTCTGAGAAGTTTGCTAAGCTTTCGTTAAGCCTTCCCTGAAGACACAAGAAGCTGTTCAGAAGGCGCAAGAGCTTCTGAGGAGTCCCGCCGCCTGCTGAGAAGGCCTTCTCCTTCTCACTTCCCCACCCCGCTCGCCGCCGAAATATAGAATATCCGTGCCAAGCAGAGAACTCAGAGGGGCCTAAGGGCACTTCGCCCAGTTTCTGCGGTGCGTTGGCGGACCTGCGTGCACCTGGAGCAGAAGCTGTTCCCCCATGCCGGGTCGCGGCAGGCTCACCCGTGCTAGATCGGGGAAACGCAAGACTCGAGTACGCAGGAATTCGGGTTTGCCGACGCTTTTGAACGAGCGCGTCCTGGATTTTGACGGTCCAGTTTTCGTGGGATGCTTGCAGCGGGAGCGCGCGTCCAATTTCAGACTGGGTCTCGTCATCGTCATGATGGCACAGTCAGGCCAACTCGAGTCCCCCGAAACAGCTAGAGTGCAGTCAAGGCGCTGAAGCAAGGGTCAGTTCTGGTCTCACCAGGGGCGCGGATCTCCGGGCCGCTCCTGACATCTGGGTCGGGGAACCTTATCGCGGCCGATGCCCGCCGTGGCCGCGAAAGCACCTTCGTTTCTTATGAAGCGTCCCTCCTGGCAGTGCCGCGGCTGTACGAGTTGGACCGTCACTGGTTCTTTTGCTTCTCTGGGTCGACAAGGCCGGACCTCAACGCTGCTTTGCTGGACTTCAGCTGCGTTCTGTTCTTCGTCTTGGCAGGGAGGAACACAGGAAAACAGGTGGAGCGAAACGAAGCACAAAACGAACAACCAAAACGAAGTACAAGGTTTAGGTCCAGCCCTGTAGGTCGACAGGTACAGGCTGGGCCGAGACCGCACAAAGACCGCGCCCGCGCGGCCTCACGAGGCCCCGGACGGCCCCCCCCCCCCCCCCCAACAAAATATCCCTAAGGGCGGGCCCAGGCGGCCTCAACCTGGGAAGGGCCCAGAGCCACACATTTCCCACGACGATGACACCCAATCCTTGCTGTTAAGTCGGGCCTGTCCCTCTACAGGAGGAATGTTCAAAACAATCACACAAAAAAGCCTGAGGACGATTTGTTTGACAATCTTTGCAAGTGTTGAGCATTTCTTGACTATTGTTTTACTTTTCTCCCAAAATTCGCCTGTAGGAGGACATGCCCGACCTAACGCTAGCGTTCCGAGATGCTCCCCTTGATCCACTCACGCACGAGGCTCCCAAGAGCTCCCCGAGAGACCAGATCACTGAGCCAGCGCAGCTGTATTCGATGCATGCGTTAGAAGGCCGACCCCAAGCTGTCACCCAGACGTCCGGGAGGCCACCCCGACAGGGCCAGGACAGCCCAAGACGGGCCTAAGGCAATCCGCAGGAGACGCTGGAGCGCCCAAGAACGCCCAGGAGGGGCCCGCGAGTTGCCAAGCAGAGTCCGACATGGCAGCAGGACGACCCCCTCGTCGGCCCAACACCAGCCCCAAGACATGCCCTTAGCACGCCCCCAAGAGCCCCCGACAAGCCCCAAATAGCACCCCAAGATGCTCCCACGATGCCCTGGAGAGGCCACATGCGCTGCACGCGCCACACTGCTCAGTGCTTATGCATTTTCCTTCGCTGTCCCGCAACGGGCCAGGAGGACCCCATCTTGGCCGCATTGATGATTCCACCATCTGTTGGCCGGGCGCGTCAGAAAGGCAAAACAGTGCGATGCGCCCCCCTGGAGGGCCAGTTTTCGACACCCCTCACGCAGATCCTGGCCCCCGAGCGTCGCAAATCGAGCCCTCCGCCCAAAGACGTGCCGAAGTGGACATAAGAGGCTCCAAGGAGCGCCCAAGAGGCCCCCTAGAGGCCCCCAACAAGGCCCAAGAGGCCTCCAAGAGCCTTCACCAGTCCTCCGAAGCATACCCCCGAGGCCCAAATCCTTAATTCTTCCATGATTTTGGAAGGAGTTTTGCCTTCTCGCCTTCTCGGCTAGCCGACGCTCCAAGACGGCCGACGAGACCCACAAGACCGCCCCAGGAAGGCCCAACAGGCCTCCAAGCTCGTCCCCAGACGGCCCAGTCTCTATAGCGGACATCAGCGCGTGCCAGAATGGCAAAACAGTGCATGTGGACCGATGCGCCCCCTGGAGGGCCAGTTTTCGACACCCCTCACGCAGATCCTGGCCCCCGAGCGTCGCAAATCGAGCCCTCCGCCCAAAGACGCGCCGAAGTGGACATAAGAGGCCCCAATGAGCCCCCAAGAGGCGCCCTAGAGGCCCCCAACAAGGCCCAAGAGGCCTCCAAGAGCCTCCCACAGTACTCTCAAGCATGCCCCCAGAGGCCCAAATCCTCAATTTTTCTATGGTGTTTGAAGGAGTTTTGCCTTCTCTCCTTCTCGGCTAGCCGACGCTCCAAGACGGCCGACGAGACCCACAAGACCGCCCCAGGACGGCCTAACATCAATGGCAGAAAAAAACGCCCCTACCCTGCTTACGAGGCGCTGTGCGCTGAAACTCTTGTGCGCCGACAGGGTAAACCCTGCGTGATGTGCCGCGTCCCGGCGGCTCTAGGCTTTGGGGGTTCCCAGGAGGTTTACAGACCACGCACTTGTAACCCAGGGTAGGGTCGTTTTTTTTCATCCCTCAATAACAGGCCTCCAAGCGCGCCTCCAGACGGCCCAGGGCGCCCCAGCGCATGTGGACCAATGCGCCCCCTGGAGGGCAATTTTTCGAGACCCCACACGCAGATCCTGGCCCCCGAGCGTCACACATCGAGCCCTCCGCCCAAAGACGTGCCGAAGTGGCCATAAGAGGCTCCAAGGAGCGCCCAAGAGGCCCCCTAGAGGCCCCCAACAAGGCCCACGAGGCCTCCAAGAGCCTACCACAGTCCTCCGAAGCATACCCCCGAGGCCCAAATCATTCATGTTTCAATGGTGTTTGAAGGAGTTGTGCCTTCTCGCCTTCTCGGCTCGCCGACGCTCCAAGACGGCCGAAGAGACCCACAAGACCGCCCCACGACGGCCCAACAGGCCTCCAAGCGCGTCTCCAGACGGCCCATGGCGCCCCAGCCCATGTGGATAAATGCGCCCCCTGGAGGGCATCTCTCACGCAGATCCTGGCCCCCGAGCGTCACAAATCCAGCCCTCCGCCCAAAGACGCGCCGAAGTGGCCATAAGAGGCTCCAAGGAGCGACCACGAGGCCCCCTAGAGGCCCTCAACAAGGCCCAAGAGGCCTCCAAGAGCCTACACCAGTCCTCCGAAGCATGTGCCCCGAGGCCCAAATCCTCAATTTTTTCAGTGTTTGAATAAGTTTTGCCTTCTCGCCTTCTCGGCTAGCCGACGCTCCAAGACGGCCGACGAGACCCACAAGACCGCCCCAGGAAGGCCCAACAGGCCTCCAAGCTCGTCCCCAGACGGCCCAGTCTCTATGGCGGACATCAGCGCGTGCCAGAATGGCAAAACAGTGCATGTGGACCGATGCGCCACCTGGAGGCCATTTTTCGACACTCCTCACGCAGATCCTGGCCCCCGAGCGTCGCAAATCGAGCCCTCCGCCCACAGACGTGCCGAAGTGGCCATAAGAGGCTCCAAGGAGCCCCCAAGAGGCCCCCTAGAGGCCCCCAACAAGGCCCACGAGGCCTCCAAGAGCCTACCACAGTCCTCCGAAGCATGCGACCCGAGGCCCAAATCCTTTATTTTCCATTATGTTTGAATGAGTTTTGCCTTCTCGCCTTCTCGGCTCGCCGACGCTCCAAGATGGCCGACGAGACCCACAAGGCCGCCCCAGGCCGGCCCAGCAGGCCTCCAAGCGCGTCCCCAGACGGCCCAGGGAGCCCCAAGATGGCCCAAGAAGCGTCCAAGACGGCCCCAGAGGACCCCAAGCCAGGCCCAAGAGGGGGCAAAAGAACGGTGAAACACCCTGACATTCCGAGCCCTGGGCCCTACGCCCACACAAGGCCCCAAGACCCCCCCAAGGGAACGCCAAGAGGTCCCCAGAGGCCCCCACGAAGCCCAAAGCAAGCCCCACGAGGCCCCAAGAGCACGGTGGCGGATTTCCTAGACCGCGCCCGCTGGCCCCATTGTCACCAGACTACCAGATACAGTTATCATTCGGCCCCGGCGAAAAGCAGATAATTTCTCACGGCTACCCTCCCCGCAAAAACTATGATGAACACAGACTGCGGCGTCAGAAGCAGCTTCTGTCCACACCATGTCATGCCTACATGGGTGTGTTTCCACTGGCACCTCCTACACCACCGCGTTCCTGCCTTCAGGCCTGCTTGCCTGCATCCCTCGCTCGCCTCCACCTCCAGCCAGCGGCCACCTCCTCATTCCACGCCGTCCCCTCCACCCTCCCCTTACCCGCGAGGCCCCAGAGACGCTCCACTTCCACGTCCACGCCATGGCGGGCAGATTCCGCGGCCGGAAGGCCGCGGGTCAGCCCTAGTCAGCTACAGCTCTGGAATCAGCGCGTGCGAGAAAAGCGGGCAGTGGGAGCAAGCACTCTGTTTGATCAGCGAGATGTGGTCTGCGAGGCTGGAGCTCGACGTCGTGAGCTACAACGCTGGGGTCAGCGCCTGCGGGACAGGCGGACAGTGGCAGCATGCGTTGTTGTTGCTCCGCGAGATGTGGGATACGAAGTTGGAGCTCACCGTCATCGATTCTGCAATGTTTGCGGCAGCCTGTGCGAAGGCAGTCCCAAGACCTGTCCAAGATGGGGCCCAAGGAAAGTTCAAGACAGCTCCACAGACGGCCCCAGGATCTGCACAGACGGCCCTAGAAAGGCCCACTGAATCAAATTGCGCTTTTGCCATTGGAAAGCTGAGGCTTTGAATTGTTTGGGGACTAGACTTGCCCGCATGGGCTCAAGGCAGTCAAAGACTCAAAGACGGTGCTATGACGTTACAAAGCTTCGAGAATGCCCCAACACGGCCCAGCAATGCCGAAGAAGGCCATAAGCGGGCCGCAGGGTTTTCATGGTGAGTCCAATATTGTTCCAACACGGTCCCTAGATGGCCCCAGTAAGTACGCACTTAAACCAGCCCACGACCCGATAGGCCCACACAGTCCTGGGCAGGCTCCCAAGATGCTCCGAAGCCAATCCTAAGAGACCCCCGAGAGTCCCAGACGTTGAGGTTTGACAAATTTCCAAATGCCCCAAACAATGCTTGCACTCATGGGCCCCGATGTCTGTTTCAACCCATTGGGTGGTTGTCCCGGTTCCTCGCCACGTTGACGCCCGTTCCCGCTCGTGGGCGCCGCGTGGGCGCTGCACCGCATGGCTCACACAGATCACACAGCTGCACCGAATAGCTTGCACAACATAGCTCACATCACAGAGCTTACACCGCATAGTTTTCACAGTCTGTCGTGCACCACATAGCTTGCACACCACATAGCGTTACACCACACAGCTTGCACCACATGGCTTCCGCCAATCTCACACCACAAAGGCCCCACCACCTATTTCACACAGCGTAGCATGCACTTCACAGCTTGCACCGCATAGTCCACCCGATGTCACAAGACATAGCTTGCACAACGTAGCCTATTACAAGTAGCTAACCTAAAAGACCGGCCAAAGGCGAATAAGAAGCTTAGGGCGATTGGTCGATGTATCGATCGATTTGCCTTCTCTTCACAATACCTGCATACATATATACATATATATATATATATATATCGATCTCACTATCTAACTATATATATATGTCTATCGGTCTCCCTATCTGTATATACCGACCGATATCCGATCGGTCTCACGACCTATCAATCAATCTCACTCACGATATGTCGGCCTCATTATCGATCCATATGTCGATCGGTCGATCTATCGCCCTCAGTCTTTATTCACCGATTTCACTACCAGTCAAGTAGCTCACCATCGTTACAACCATCGGGACAGCCATTGGTGCATCATCGATTGGTCTACCTATGTATCTATCCCACTCTCCATCGCTCTTGCAAGAAATTTACCATATTTCAATCTACCGATCTCAGTACCCGTGTGGTTGCCGACAGCTGCTTATAGACATATATACACATATATAGGCACACGTGCAGACATCTAACAATATTACCCATCATATTTATATATATAGATGCCGAGTACACGATCTGCACACCAATGTACCATCGGAAGAACCATCGGGGCAACCTCTATCTATCCATGCCAACATATAAACATATGGGCACCGATCTCACAATCCATCGAGTTATCGATGTACCTGCTCATTGATCGGTCGATATCACTACCCTGCCATTGCTCCCACGATCGATCATTCCATATTTCAATTTCACTCGCTCTGCATACACCTATACATGGATGCTTGTTTCTCGATCTATGTATCGGCCTCAACTGCTTATCATCGATTCTAGACTCAATGCACCAATCCACCACCGGAACAACCATCGAAAACGCGACAAGCATCGGGACAACCATCGGGACACTCATAGGACAACCGTCGGGACAACCACGAGACAACCGCGGGACAACTGGGGGACCATCTCGGCCCAACATCCGCCAACCAGGGGGAGGAGAAACTGATGTTCCGACATCGTCCTCGCAACGACAGGATTACTCCTCTCGCCGACGCGTGCAGCTTCGCCTCGCCCGCGCGCGCTGCACGAACACGACACCGAAACAGATTTTCCGGTAGGCTGTCTTCGTTTCATGCTGATCGCTCTCCCCAGTTGCTGACATCGCAAAGCTCTTACTAGACAGCTCACACCACTTAGCTTGCACAACATAGCTCACACCACATCGTTTACATTGCATATTTTCAGCGTCTTAGCTTTCACCACGTAGCTTCTGCCGTACGTATCACGCTGCAAATCTTACACAAGAGCGCTTGCACCACATAGCTTACACAACATCGCTTGTACAACAGATCGCACTCCGCATAGTTTGCTCCGCACAGTGTTGACCTCCGCAGCACAATAACTCATTGCTGTTGGCGCACGCTGGTGAACATCTGTTTGACCTCCATGCCTTTCTGACGTAAATGGGCCCACTTGAACCAGACAGTGAAACAAATCTGCACAGACAATGAACCAGACAATGAGACTTGAACGTGTGTTCCCAAGACCGACACAGCACTGCCCCTAAATGGCCCTAGTTGGCGCAAGACGGCCGAAGCACGGCAAGACTGGCCCCACGCGGCCCCACGAGGGCCGCCAGAATGCCAGGAAAGCCTGAAGGGCGGCTCACGAGCTGCAAGATCGAGTCCGACACTACTCCAGAACAGCGACACCGTTGACGACCCCAAGACTTGCCAAGACGGCGGCCCCGACACCTAACAGTCTTTCCGTATGCCCAAGAGGCCTTTTTCACGGGTTCTCGAGTCCGTCGGCAGGCTTCCCGGAGGCCCGTGAGATGGCATTAACATTGAACATTGAACACGTGGGTTCACTTCTTGTCACGTCGCGTATCCCCACCAGGTCACGCGCTACAATGGCTCCGCCGAGGACTCCCAACAACCGAACATCGTGTAATTTCGGATGGTGTCCACCGATCACCCTCGACTTCTAGCTTCTAGGTTCGTCCGCCGATGGTCACAGATACTTCTCAGAGGGCTCCTGCGGTCTTCAATGGCCCCCGGGAAGACCCAAGACGCCCCCGGCATGATCCATGGCCCCAAGACGGCCCCAAGACGGCCAGAGGCTGCTCCGAGACGGCTCAAGGCCCCTCCCCCTCGAGCGCCCCCAGATTCTTTCCACAACAGCACCCCCAGGCCCCAATGGACGCCCAGATGGCCGCAGAAGGCACGGGAGGGAGCCAAAGGAGTCCCAAAGAAGGCTCTAGCAAGGCCATGAGTTTGCCGAGGAGGCCCACCCAAGCTCACCGAGGGTGAATCGAAGAGGCCCCAGGTCAACCGAGTGGGCGACCAGGTGTCAGGCCCCACGCGCGCCGACGCCATTTGGAGGCTCGTCCGTCGGCCGCTTCTTGAGCCTCCCACCTCGCTCCTTGCTCCCCGCCGCTCCCCGCCCAGGCCCCCTCCCGTACTCGCCCCCTCTGCGCCTTGTCTCGCTCCTGCTCGCTCCAGGCTCCTCTCTCATGGCCCCTCGCTGCTCCTTCCCGAGCAGCCGCACGCAGCAGTGCCAGGCCGCCTCGAGCGGTATCGCGACACGGGCAATGGGGGCCCACAGCAGCGAGGACGAGCAACATGGAAGCAGAAAGTTGCAGCAACCACCACGAAGCATCAGCAGACGGCAGGAGTTGGCAGCCTGCGGATGGGCAGTCCGGCCAAACGCTATCAGGCCACCAGGCCAGCAACCAAGCAAGCAGCTCAGCAGGCGAGCAGACAATCAAGAAAGCGATCCTCACTCTCGCGTGTGATTCGGCTCTCGCGAACGGTAGTCAACGGGTCAGCCTTGGTTCAGCTACAGTGCTGGGATTAGCGCGTGCGAGAAAGCTGGGCAGTGGCAGCAGGCGGTGTCATTTCTCCGCGAGATGAGGGAGGCGATATTAAAGCCCAGTGTCACAAGCTACAGCGCTGGGATCAGTGCGTGCGGGAAAAGAGAGCAATGGCAGCAGGCGGTGGCACTTCTCCGCGAGATGTGGGATGCAAAGCTTGGGCCAGACGTCGTCAGTTCTAGCGCTGGGATCAGCGCGTGCGAACGCGGTGGGCAGTGGAAACTGGCTCTGGTGTTGCTCAGCGAGATGTGGGATGCGAAGGTGGAACCCGACATCATCTGTTACAACGCCGGGATACATGCCTGTGGGAACGGAGGGAAATGGCAGCAAGCGCTGTCCCTGCTAAGTGGGGCACGGGATTCGAGGTTGGCGCCGAACGTCATCAGCTACAGTGCTGGGATCAGCGCCTGCGAGAGCGGGGGGAATTGGCAGCAGGCGCTGTCGCTGTTCTGGGAGATGGGGGATGCGAAGTTGCAGCCTGCCGTCATTCTTCCTACAGCGTGAGGTCCAGTGCGTGCGCGCTCGCTGACAACCACCCACCAAAACCTCCCAACCCAACCCGAAGGCTCCGATTTGCCCTCCGCTCCCAGTGGAGGGGGGCGTCGGGAAGCATTGGAAAAACACGTGGCCGTCGTACCCCCCCCTCCAACTCAAACTTTGGGTCTTCGGGTTCGGTTGGGGTGGTCTGGTAGATAGTCAGTTTGCCCTGCGGACTCCCCCACGGGCCGCCCGGGGACCCCGCAGGGCTCCGGGGCGCTCCCAGGACGTCCCCAGCCGGCCTGGCCGAGCCTGCATCAAGGGCCCTCCGCGGACGAAGAAAGAGCCGCCATGGGAGAACAGCCACGACGGCCCGACAGGCCCCCCAGGTGGCGCCAGCGTGGCTCCGAGAGGCTCTGCCATGGCCCCGCGGAGGGCCCGACAGGCCCGATGGGGTTGTTCTAGGGGAGCGAAGAATGACAAACATAAAAAACTCGGAGGCCCGCGAGGACCTCCGAGTCTGCATGTTCATGTCATTCTTCGCTCCCCGATGTTCGCTCCTCGCCACCCGCTTGGCGGCCCAGGTGGCCTCATGCAGGGCCCGCCGGGCTGCCGGGAGGGCCCCCCGAGGCCCCATGCCAAGCAGTGGCGAAGCGTCCCGGCGTGCCTATGGCCCTACCAAACAATCTTCCAAGAGCCTGTTGTGGTTTCCACGAAATGTTCTTAAATCAGGAGGGGAAACAACACACAGACACAATTAATCGGCGCTTCCCAGAAAATATAGGAAAATATTGGAAGTGGGGGGGAAGACAAAAACCCAGAAAATATGGGAAAATATGGGGAACAGTTTTATTTGTGTGTATTTATTTGTGTGTCCTGGGGCCCCTTCAGAATTGTTCTTAGAACATTTCTGGCTGGGATTGTCTTGTTTTAGCACATCGGGTTTCTGTTCTTAGGACATTTGTTGGCCAAGCACAACGCTCCCAAGCTGGCCCCGCACGGCCACGGGCCGACGTCCAGAAGGACCTTCGGGCTGCGCCGTGAGGGCCCCCCAGGTGGCCACAAGTCAGAGCCTCGAATCATCAGGGGTAACTCGGGTCAGGGATAACTCGGGTTCGTTTTTCGGGAATCCAAACCCGAGTTACCCCGGACCCGAGCTACCCCGGATAACTCGGGCGTCCAGAGCCCCGAATCATCAGGGGTAACTCGGGTCAGGGCTAACTCGGGTTCCTTTTTCGGGAATCCAAACCCGAGTTACCCCGGACCCGAGTTACCCCGGATAACTCGGGCGCCCAAACAAGAGGGCCTCCAAGCGAAGAAGAGAAAGTACGCTATGAGCATAGACTTTTGGGGCTCCGCGCGGATTTCTTGGATCTGCGTTGGGGCCCCTATCCAGGATACCCTCTCTCACGACAGCCCGCCGAGGGCTTCAGCATCCAGGGGCTATTCCCCAGCGCTCCGAGTCGGCCCCCCTCCGGACCGCTGATGCGCCCCCGAGAATCAATGCTCGTTCCTGCCCCCCGTGTTTTTGCAGGAATGCCCCAAGATCGCTCCAGAGAGCGAGCAGCTGCCAAGATATCGCAGCATCGACGCTTCTTGTTGCCCCACGGCATCCAGGGATCGCTCCACAGAGCCCCATGAGGTCCATACTGAAGATAAGTCGGGCCTGTCCCTCTACAGGGAGAACTTTCAAAAATAGTAAAAAATGTTGGTACGATTGTTGTTCTATGTTTGATTATGTTTGGAGTTCATTGGGAACATGTTTTATCTGTCGTCCAAAATCCCCCTATAGGGTTGACAGGCCCGAACTAATATTATAGCAATCGCAGCACCAGCCGTAGCAAGCATCAACGGCAACCATTGTAGCAAGAAGCCGCAACCATCATCAACTAGCACCAGGCAGGACACAGCAGCGCGCGGCAGGAAGCGGCAATGAGCAGACGAGCAATCAATCGATGAAGCAAGCAGGCAAGCATGCAAGCATGGCATCAGGCAAGCCGGCCAGCATCTAAGCCGAAGCGTCGGCTGGAAGTTGTTAGGTCAGCTTGCTTCAGGCCATGCGCGGCAGACGTCCGACACGAACGGAAACCGGCACGCAGGCAAGCCAAGACGGTACATGAGGCTCCACGAGATCACCAAGTGGCCAAAATATTTCCGAGCAGCACCAGGGCCAGCAGAAGCAGAGCGAACAACAGGGGCAATTACGAGCAGCCAGTGGCAACAAGCAGAACCTGCAAGCAGTCCGAGCAGGCGTCGCCAGCAAGCGAAATTGGCAAGCTGCAGCAGGTTGCAGCAATCAACAGCTAATGGCATCGGCAGCAGCAAGCATCAGCTGGTAGCAGACCGCGGCAGCAGCAGCAGCAGACAGCTGCAAGCAGCCACGAGCAGCAACGCGACACAGCAAACATCCGCCGTTTGCAGCTAACAGCAGCAATCGGCAGCTAGCCGCAGCAAGCCGCAGCGTGATGGCGAGCTCTTAGTCTTTACAACATGCAAGCAGGCGGCAAGCTGTCAGGCTACCAGGCTAGTAGCCACGGAAGCAGCCAGGCAGGAAAGCAATCATCACCCATGCTTTCGGGCAATCTGTCGTAGGCGAGTCCACGGCTCAGCCCCAGTCACCTACAGTGCTGGGATTAGCGTGTGCGAGAAGGGTGGGCTGTGGCAGCAGGCGCTTGCGCTGCTCAGGGAGATTGGGGATCGCAGATTGGCACCAGACGTTATCAGCTACAGCGCCGGGATCAGCGCCTGCGAGAAGGCCAGGCAGTGGCAGCGGGCGGTGTCGCTGCTCCGCGAGATGCGCGGCGCGAGGCTGGAGCCAAACGTGATCTCGTCTATGATGCCAAAACCTCCTTCTCTTCCTCCTCCTCCTCCTCCTCGTCCTCCTCCTCCTCCTCCTCCTCCTCCTCCTCCTCCTCCTCCTCCTCTGGCTCCTCCTCCTCGGCACGAGAAACGCGCACTGTGGCAGCAGCGCAAGCAGGCCAGCGGCGCCAGACCACCCCACGGGCCTCTTGCGCCCCAGCAAGCCCCAGAGAAGGCTTCGGAGATCCCCAGGTGGCCCGAGCACTGTCGAAGAGGCCCTAAGAATAAGTCGGGCCTGTCCTTCTACAGGAGGTATATTCAACAAGTGTGAAAAAAAAATAGTCTGGGGATGATTGGTTGCGTATTTGTTTTGACTACTTTTCATGTTTCGCCCAACATCCGCCTGTATGGGGGACATGCCCGACCTAACCCTAAGAGGCGCCGAGGGTGCACAACAGATGCGCCAAGGGAGGCTCCAGACAAGTTGCTTCAGGTGGGCTCTGCGCGGCTGCGTTTCCCATGAGAGCCCCATGAAGGCCCCAGACTGCCCCAGCTTCCAAGTCGGCCTAAGAGTGCCCTAGAGTGGCCCAAGAGGCCTCCAAGATAGCCCAAGACAGCTCTAGGAGTGCCCAAGAGGGCCCCCAGAGGCCCCGACGACGACCCAGGGGGGTCTCACCCCGAGAGGGCGCCAAGACGGCCCAAGGTGGCCCTGAGCGAGGTGCGGGTGGCGAGACTGGAGCCCGACCACACCCCTGTTCTGACGCAGTGCGTGCGAGAGCGGGGTGCTGTGGGGCTGGAACGTCCTGGTCAGAGCGCGCCGAGAGGCCCCAAATATTGGTCCAAAAGGGCCGGCGAGACGGCACCGGTGGGGCTCAGAGAGCCCAAGCAGCATTCAGGATAGCTTGAGAATGCCTTGAGACGGCCCCGAGGCGACCCAACAGTGGCCCACGGCGAAGACCCTCCGAGCCAGTGCCGGACAGCCCCAGGTGTGCCAAGACTTCCGAGGTGCTTCAGGGCAGCCCCAGGTGGCCCCAAGGTGACTCCAATACCGCCCAGAAGAGGCTTAAGACGGCCTCCCCATGTTTTCAGCCCCAAGGCGGGCACACGCATCGAATACCTGATATATTTGAGCTGTGTTGGGCCTCTTCGTCTTACTGGCCCAAGACGGCCCTAATAATGGTTGTGCCATCTGCGATCCGTGAGTTTCATTTGCGGGAAACCCTACTCAGCTTCGAATTTGGACTCGGCGCGTGCGATAAAAGCGGACATTCTTAGAATACAGTGATCAATGTTGCAATCTTAGAAGGTGAGCTCATCCGGCCGTATGCGTTGCAATCCTCACGTTTGCATGCGAGTGCGGTCTCGTGGACGCGTGGGAAAACGCAAACGCGCGATCACAATTTGTGCACCGATCGCACTCAGCCACAATCACCTTCCGTTTCGTTCGAGACAGGCTTGTGTGCTCTGTTGCAGTTTTTTGTTGTGTTGCGGTGTCGAGTCCACGGGTCATCCCTAGTTTTAAATCGGGCCTGTCCCTCTACAGGGGGAATATCCCAAAATAGTCAAAACATAGTCTGCGGACTTTTTTTTTGTTACTATTTTTGGGCATCGTTTGAGTATGTTTTGAATCTTTTTTTATTTTTCGTTGGAAACCCCCCTGTAGGGGGGCACGCCCGACTTCACCCTAGTTAGTTAGTCAGCTACAGCTCCGGGATCAGCGCGTGCGAGAAGGGCGAGCAGTGGCAGCAGGCGCTGGCGCTGCTCCGCGAGATGCGGGGCGCGCGGCTGGAGCCCAGCGCCACCTGCAGGCCCCCCCGCGCGTGCAAACCGGAGCCCCTGCGCCGGAGCCCCCCAGTGGCTCGTGGGCGGCACGTCGGGGCGCGGGCGTTTCGCGTGGGACCCCATCATTGACGTGTTTGACGCACGATGAAGATGACGATGACGATGACGATGACGTCATCGACATCGTCATCGTCATCGTCATCGTCACCTCTTCTCCCAGAGGTAGCACGGACGGAGGGCTTTCGTGTTGACGCTGCGGCTCCCACCCTGTCGACATCCGCGTTCGTCTCAGGGATCTTGCAGCAGCTACGGGGGTGGAGGTGAAGTAACACGGATGGAGAGTTTGTCGTTTTGACGATGCGGATCCTACCTTGTCACCGTCCGCATTCGTCTGCAGATCTTGCAGCAGTTACAGGGAGGAGGTGGAACCAGCTTTTCTCTTTATAACCGTCGACTTGGCGCCGCGCACAGTCGCTTCGAACGGTTTTCACAACTACACGGGTGGATATACAGGTTCTTCTTCACAGTAGGGTTCTTGTTTGAGGGATTTCCTTCCACTTACGACCAGACGTTTCAGATGCTCAACAGACGTACGGATGGAGGGCGGCTCGTTGCAAGCTTGAGTCATTTTTCTGTCCCCACATCCTAGTCTCTCTGATGTCTGCATTCGAATTCCCCCCCTTGAACGGCAACCTGATTTTCCAGACCCCTCTTTGTCAACGGGGGACATTCCTATTCCGGACCACCCTCTTCGGCTTATGGAAAGCGCCCTAATCAATAACCTGGACCCTTCCGCTTCCAAAGTGGCGATTTGAAAAACCAGACCCGAAAGACGATATATTCAGGAGGAGAAGGAGGAGGAGGCGAAGGAGGAGGGTGAAGAGGAGGAGAAGAGGAGGAGAAGAGGAGAAGGGGGAGGAAGAGGAGGAGGAGGAGGAGGAGAAGGAGGAGGCGGAGGAGGAGGAGGAGGAGGGGGAGGGGGAGGAGGAGGAGGAGGGGGGGAGGATGATAACGAGGAGGAGGAGGAGGAGAAGGAGGAGGAGGAATTTCGAGTAAGAGTTGAGGGCGGCTCTTCTGCAGAGAGAAGCTCCCGCCTGCATGCCAGGCCCAGGGGGCGCGCCTCTTTCACCGTGTCGCCCACCTTTCAGTGCGTAGCAATACGTGTATGCGGCCCAGGAGACGGGAACCAACGCTCTTGAGAGAGAGGATCGACGCCTCCCTGAGCGCGGACCCTCTGGTTTCAGCAGAGATCGCGGCCCTACGACAAGTATTCCTCGTGGCCTCGGGATCAGGGCTCCACCTTGTTTTGCTGCACGAGGGATCGTTGCACCGGGAGCACGGATCCACAGTTGTTCGGTGGGTCGCGTCGGGAGCGCGGACGCAAGAGATCATGGCCTCAAAGGCGTGGCTGTTGATTTGCTTCATGGGATCGTTACAGTCATGACGCTGAAATAAGGAACAGTTTGGGGCCGGAAGTGGCTGGACGTTCTTCAGGTCCTTCCATGGCTGTTCGTCCGGCCCTCCTCGTGAGCGAAGGCGGTTCTGGGACCTCAGAGGGGCTTCGTTCCTTATTTGGCGTTCCTTCTTTCAGCGGCCCGACTGTGCCCCGGGATCGCCAGGTCCGCGGGTGGCCTCGGGAGCGCAGGTCCACGGGTTCTAGCCAGGGACCGCGGCCCCGTGGCCGCACACCCCGGCTTCTGCGAGGGATCGTGGCCTCCGGAGCGCGGCCCGTTGCCTCTCAACAGCGGATCGTGGCCTCAGGAGCGCGCCCCAGGGTGCGTCTCTGCGGGAGGTCGTGGCTTCGGAAGCGCGGGCCCACTGCTTCGAAAACAGGGGCCGCGACCCCGCGAGCGCAGCTGCGCAGTTCTTGGCGGGGGCCGTGGCCCCGGGGCGGCGGACCCACTCTTTCTGGGCGAGGGGTCGTGGCTCCGGGAGCGCCCAGTCAGATGTGTGTTCAGAAGGGCTCGTGGCCTTGGGAGGCCTTGGCCTCGTGTTACCCTCGGATATGAGGTAGCGGTGTTCGCGCGCGGCGGCGGTGCATGGAGGGGGGAGGGGCAGTCGAGGCGGGAGGGCGGGAGAGCACATGGGAATGCTGGAGTATCGGGCGAAGATGACTAGACACTTGCACCGATCCTGGCAGCGCCCGTCCTCGACCGAGGATCGATTCATATGCCTTCCTGGCCAAGGTAGCGGGCGTATGCGCCGATCCTGGGCTCAAGATGGGCCTGGCCAGAACCGGTGTATGTGCATAGTTTTTTTCCTCTGGAGCAATGACTCGCTCCAATGTTTCCTTCAAGCTCATGCAGAATCTTCATCCACGAGCTTACGCGCTCAGCTACAGCGCTGCGATCAGCGCGTGCGAGAAAGGCGGGCTGTGGGGCACGGGCTAAATACCGATCGTCGTCCTCTTCATCTTCCCATGATGACGACGAAAAGGACAAGGTGTGGGATGAGATGAAGCCCGACGTGGGGTTTACGGACACTTGCACAGCCATTGAAGGCGACGCCACCTTGGAGCTATGGCACAGAAAGCTGAAACATAGCATCCCATGTCGTTCGATTGCGCACTTGTGGGCGGTACCCCCCGTTCATCGAGAAAAGCGCTGACGCCACCTCGTGGCGAAAACATTGCAGAATCGGCTTGTCAGGCAGGGAAAGGATGATGCAGATGAGCATGAGTTTCAAATTGTGACACTCGATTCCGCACCACTCGTGGGCGGTCGGTAGCCGCGGTTCAGCTCTAGTCAGCTACAGCGCCGGGATCGGCGCGTGCGAGAAATGAGGCGTGTGGCAACACGCAGCCTCTCTATTCAACGAAATGTGGGATGCAGAAGTCGATCCAGACGTCATTGGCTACAGCGCGGGGATCAGCGCATGCGAGAAAGGCGGGCACTGTGGCTGATCAACGAGATGCGGGATGCCGGCGTCACCCCAACATACGAATACCATGTGTGCGTTGCCCCTCCCCTCAGATCAGGGGCGACGCGCGCGCCGAGAGGTCTTAGAGTGCATGCTTCGTGGCGGGCGCGTTCTGGCCGTACTGTTCGGGAAACGATATATACTACTAGACGCTTGCACTATTTGTTCGAGTCGGACACACGCTTCCGAAGAGGACATATCATGCTGGCACTTAGTGGGCCCCGGAAACGGCAGGGCCGTCTTTTCACCGTCTTGAAAAATGGAAGCGGCAAAAAAAACGGCGACCGGAAACGGCAACAAAAACGGCCCCAGGATTGGAACCGGAGCGGGAACCCGTAAAAGAACGGCAAAACGGAACCGGTAACAAAAACGGCACCGGAACCAGCAAGAAAACGGCAAGCCGGAACCGGTAACAAAACGGCCCTGTCGTTTCCAGGGCCCACTTAAGTGCTGGCATGCCCCTGTGCCTCCCAGGAGTCGAACCTGGAGCCTAGCATGCCGAGCTACAGCGCTTGGGTCCGCGCCCGCGCGAGGGGAGGCCGGCGGCAGCAGGCGCCTGCTGCCGCTCCGCGAGACCTGGGCCGTGCAGGCCCGGCGCGGGCCGGAGCGGAGGCCGGCACCGTGCGAGCAGTGATCAGGAGGGAAAAAAACACACAGACACAATTAATCGTCGATCCCCGAAAAAATATAGGAAAATGAGGGACTTGGGCGGGAAGACAAAAACCGAGAAAATATGGAAAATATGGGGAATCTGTTTATTTGTGTGTGTTTATTTGTGTGTCCTGGGGCCCCTTCAAGTGAGGGCAGCGGCACCGGGCCTCGACGGCTCAGAGATCCGGGCGATCGGCATGGGTGCAGGGAAGAAGGATGGGTACGATGCCCAGCAGCAGTTCCTGCTCATGTTGAGCAGGACTCGCTGGTCGCGCCGCCGCGGAAGCTGTTCCTTGAAGACAAAGAGCCGCCTGCCCAACAGCGGCCGCTGTCGGTCTGGGACAGCATGTGTGGTTGGGCATTGTACCCATTTTTGTCCGTACCGATTTCGGGCGTCCAGAAGAGATGGGGCCCTGCGGGGTGGGGCCCTTCTAATCGACCCGCACGGTAAGGATTGGGCAATTTTCCCAAGGGCACCCTCGCATCTTTGCCTCCTCGGTCCAGCCTTCGCCACTTTCGCTGGCCGCACCCCGCTCGAAAAGCTTCGGAATGTGCATCCAAGGCCCCTGGCATCCTTGTCGCGCATCCTCATGACACGGGCCGACTGCATCGGCGGCGAGCCCGGTGGGCAAGCGAAAGGGGGCTGGCCTTCTCAGGAGGCTCAGAAGCCCCCTGGCCTTCCGAGAAGTTTTCTGAGCCTCTCGGAGAGCCGGAGGCCTCCTGAGAAGCCCCGCCGCTTTTTGAGGAGGCCTTCTCCTTCTCACTTCCCCCCTCGCTCGCCGCGGACCTCAGCCGGAGAAGAAACCAATGCATATGCCGAAAGTTCGGAGCTCCGCGCGGATTGTTCTTGGATCTGTGCTGGAGCCCACCGAGGGCGCCTGCGGCGCCGCCCTGGCACGCGTCGCGCGACAGTGAGAGTGGTCCAGCACGGTTCCAGGAAGTCTGCGCGAAGCTCCGACGGTTTCGGTTTAGGCAGTTTTGCTCCTCTTCTACTTGGGATGGGAAGAGGTCCCAGGTGGAGTTCGCACCGTTTGAGGCTCCTCGCCTGTGGGGCTCCATCCCTCCGGGCCCGATTTTTGAACCGCCGAAGACGGGGTCGCTGCTCAGCGAGGCGTGGGACTCGGAGCGGGAGGGGACCCGCGCCAGCGGCTGCCTGCGCCGAGTCGGCAGGGGCGGGCAGGGGCGGGCGGTGGGCTCAGGTGTGCACCCCGTGTGAGCTTGCCGTCGTGTCATCAGCCCTGCTCCGCCTCCTCATCCCCCGCAGATGCTTCTGAAGCCTGGCCTGAGCCGCCTCAGACCATACCCCTTCCTCGCTTCCTCCTCCCCCTCCTCCCCTCCTGCCCCGCCTCTTCGCAATCCTCCTTTCCTCTCGAAGCTCGAAGCTGTGGACCTGTCTGCTGCTTATCCAGCTGTCTGCCCTCGCCCCCCCCCCCCCCCGCCTGGACCTCGCTGGAGGTAAGGGGGTAGAACAACCAAGAGGTAAGGAGAGGGAATCAACAGGGGGGGCACGACGTGATTCCCCAATCCGTGCTTGCCCTGAAGGGTTGGTTCCTAGCGGACATTGAACGATTTGGCGAAAGTTTCCCGCCGGTGTTGGTGGTCGGCTGGTTTCCCGGGCTTCCGGTTCCGGGTTCTCCCGGATTCCTGGTCGTTGGTTCCGGTCCGATATTTCGGTGGGTTCCAGGATCCCGGGTTCCCAGGTTCCCGGTCGATCTCCTTATCGATTTCTGTATCAAACCATCTTTCGATTGGGTTTTTTTTTCTCTGGTGGGGTATACTTGGTATGCACCTGGGTCAGGAGCGAAAGAAGGACGTACATGTACATGAATCCACGCTGGTTTCGAGAGCACGCAATGCACAAATATAACGCGGCCAGTCTCGCGAATCGAGTGGCCGTGTTCATGTACATAGCTGGGCGCGTACGTCCTTTGTGGGCTCCCTACTGGGGGACGGGACGGGAGGCAAGGACAGGCTGTCCGTGGCGGCGATGCGATCGCGCGGACGGGGCCGCCAGAGCGTGAGCCCCCGCCCCCCCCCCGGGGGGGGGGGCAGCAGAGGCTCCCCTCGGCCCGTGTGTGCAGGAGGCGGCGTCCTACCCCCCTGGGGGGGGGTAGCCCATAAGCTGCCGAGCAGGGCGCCCTGGCGTGAGCAGTGCAGCGGAGTATCGGGGGAGCGTAAGACCTGGGTTTGCCAGGACTCGGGTTCGCCATCGTTTTTTGACGACCGCGCCTCGGATTTTGACGAGGAGGAGTTTCGTGGGATGTCTGCAGCGGGAGGCCTCGTCAAAATGCAGGCTCGGCCTCGTCATTTTTTGACGACATCGTCGGGGATTTCCGAGTCCCTTGTACCCAGGTCTTACGTCCCCCTGAGAGTAGGGTGAGGGTGAGCGCGAGAGGTGGGCGTCAAGTGGGCAGGCAGGCTGAGGAGGTGGCCCGAGCGGGACCCCCATCCCCCGAGGATTGGGGGTGGGAGCCCCCTCGGCCTGGCTCTTAAGTTGCTGCTGCCGATGGGCCACGGCCGTCTCGGGGGCTGTGCGACGCCCCGCGGCGGCCAGTGCCGAGCACGGCTCTGCTGGTTTCCCCGACCCATTGGTGTCTTCGTCCCCTGAACGTCTCCCGCCCCGTGCCCCTTTCCTTGCGGCAGCGGTGGGGTGAGGGAGGGTAGGCTAGTGGGCGAAAGGTGGGGGAAGGCGGGGCTGCGGGTGGGGGCGAGGTGAGTGGGGTGAAGCCACAGAAGGAGTCGAAGCCGAGGTAGGAATCGTGGACGGGGCCACTGGAGTAGTCCAGGTGCCGCAAGTCCAGGGAGTACGAGATGTTGATGCAGGCGTGGTAGAGGCGACTGGAGAGGCTGTCAGCATGCCCGCTCAGAGAAGTGCTGCCAGATGCCCCGCTGTCTGCCCAGCAGCTGTGTCGAGGTCGATGCCCGTCTGGAGGGAGTAGCGGCGGTGAATGTAGGGTAGTGGTGCCGGAAGGGGTAGACTCTGCTCGTCGTGAATGTAGAGATTGGGTGCCTGCTGCTATCGAGGGGAGTGGTGTGGAGGGTCGCCGCTGCGCCGTGCCGCGCTGAGCTGGTGCCGGTGCTGGTGCTGGTGCTGCTGCTGCTGCTGCTGCTGCTGCTGCTGCTGCTGCTGCTGCTGCTGCTGCTGCCCTGCGGGCAGCGAGTGCGTAGGGTGAGTAAGGTGGAGTCGCGAGAAATTCGGAATGGGTGGTCGCCAGCTAAGTTGTGGGCGTGCCGTCGTAGGGGCAAAACCGGAGGAGGCAGGGGAATCCTGCGACCCGCGTGGGCAGCCGCAGCAGAGAGGTCCGACGCTGGGTGCTGTGGCATTGGTGCCGGTGCTCTTCATGGTGAGGGTGGCCCGCGCCGCGGGTCCTGCGTCCAGCATTGGCCGGGGATTGTAGCTGCCAGGTTCGTGGCTGAGGTCGCTGCCGCATGCGCGGCGGTTCCCAGCGCCCGGTGTCCGCCAGTCCTCCTCCTCTTTCTCCGCCTCCTCCACCTCCTCCTCCTCCTCCACCTCCTCCTCCTCCTCCTCCTCCTCCTCCTCCTCCTCCTCCTCCTCCTCCTCCTCCTCCTCCTCCTCCTCCTCCTCCTCCTCCTCCTCCTCTGGGGGGATGGAAGAGGGTGGAGGCACCGCTTGCTGGTGGAATCGGGTTGGTAGGCTTACTGGGGCGGGTCCTGGCCTCCGGCGCTGGCCCCGCGTGTCCGCAGCTGGGCTGCCGTACGCCTCGCACGGGCTGGTCCGAAGGTGCGCGGTGTCCTGTCCTTGTCCTCCACCTCCTCCGACTCCTCTTCCTCGTTCTCCCTCCTCCTCCTCCTCCTCCTC